AGAAGGCAATTAATGGACCAAGTCGATGTTTATTTGCTGGCGATCTCGTGGCATCGAAAGGATACCGAGATCGTGCCAGGATACAATCTTGGTTACAGAACGCAACCGAATTCGCGCGAAGTTACAATCAAAGAGTAAGTAAGTGAATGGAAGAACAAAATAGCTGTCATTAGCACAGTCAAACAAAAGCACATTAAAACAAACACTGGTACAGTTGGTTATAATAATAATTGTTTTTATTAAACCAGTCGTGTTCTCGTGATAAACGTGAGTCACTACAGGAACTGACTCCACATCAGAAGGCTGCGTGTTCGGATCACGTCGGGCTCACCAATTGTAGTCGAGTTGGGATTACCAATTGTAGCGTGTCGTCGAGTTGAGATTAACTATGAACACCACTACCAAGAAACACGTGCCAATTAGATCAGAAGGCGTAAGAAGCTCGTTCCAAATGACTCCATAAAATCCCCGAGAAGCCGAATACCAGAAGGCAATTAATGGACCAAGTCGATGTTTATTTGCTGGCGATCTCGTGGCATCGAAAGGATACCGAGATCGTGCCAGGATACAATCTTGGTTACAGAACGCAACCGAATTCGCGCGAAGTTACAATCAAAGAGTAAGTAAGTGAATGGAAGAACAAAATAGCTGTCATTAGCACAGTCAAACAAAAGCACATTAAAACAAACACTGGTACAGTTGGTTATAATAATAATTGTTTTTATTAAACCAGTCGTGTTCTCGTGATAAACGTGAGTCACTACAATACGATCTTTTTATTTGAGCAAACAGAAGTGCTACACATGTCGCACACTAAAGTCTCCACCGTAGACGTAACAGGTGGAACCACGGGTGATGAAGTTTGTCCTCTCGAGGTTTACCGCTTAAGTTTAAGAATTACGCCTCCATGCTCCTTTCAAGAAATTTATATCTAATTCCTAGATACGGAATTCAATAACCTCTTAGGCTCTAAGATGTGGTCGGATGCCGTATCGAGAGATGCTCAGTATTTGTTTTCATTCAGGGGATGTGAGAAGTAGAGTGGATATCGGCCATTTTTAAGAAATACGATAATTGCGGAGGAAATAGATGTCTTGATTTCTTCCTGTAGCCTGAAGCTACATCGTTTTACACTTTTGGAGATTGAAAGTCAGACTGCTCTAGGATGTCCGTTTCTTCAGTAGCATCGAAACAGGTCATTTATTGGATAGCAAAGTGCTTCATAATGTTCATGTACGAGTCATTTCAATCCTTGTGTGGTTCAAGTTTCTATAAAACTATCGGGTTAACAGAAGGAGCTTTGAAAATCCCTTCTAAATGTTTGGTCGATATTATTACTATTTTTATTATACATAAACGGATGATTCGTGCATAAGAGTTGTGAACAAACTATTTCGGGTTTCTTCAGAATTGCACATATCCACAAGTTTAAACCATGTTTACACAATATTCGTTATATTTAAACAGGTTTTGTATTATCTAGAAGATCATCAAGTTTCATTAATCTTCCTCCCTGCCTTGTAACTTAACTTTTTACGAGAATTCGTGTAGACATAGCTTTATATTTATCAATCTTGTTTCACCATATCATTATTATTGACTTTAGTTAAGATTCACTGTTATTATTAAATTTGTTGCATGATAACTGGTCATTGATGATGAGGTGTTTCTTGATTGAACCCAAGTTTACGGTGTGTGGCGGCTAACCTTTGTTATTCTGTAAAAGACTTCTGTAAACGATTGACTGGATCATTGTGGGAACATTATTTTGTACTGCTTTGTTAAGAGTAGTCTCACTGATCGTTTAGTGCTTGATAGCAACTTATTAACCGCTTTTCATTTGTTGTACTCGATGTTTCTTTGTAGTATATAAACTGTATGGAGAAATCTGCATTTTGTGCGATTGAGGTATTTTGTATGCATGATATAGTTTTTTTTGTTTTTCCTCCACATTAGAGCCTTTCATATTAGTGGAAAAGTTTGTATTTCGATTAGTGTAATACTGATGATTCAGAAAGGCTTAATACGTTATACAGACGAATATTATTCGACCTCTTTAAATAGTCATCAATACGCTGTACCTTACCAAGTACTGGAATTCTGTTCATTATCAATAGCCCAAGCATTACTCTCATATTACCATACACTACTACTACTATAGGGATATCAGTTCAAACAGTTATCTTTGACTCCAGAATTAGTTGTCTACCAATGTGCATGTTAAGGACTTACAATATATAAACAATATGTTTGATAGAAAAGTGTATATCAGCTGGTTTCCTTCTTCCTGGGGCTCAAAAATTCAGTTGCATGGTAACATCTCAATAATTAAGAAAGTTTGTGCCACTTAGTATATCTTTCATAAGTAGATTATTTTAAACACGCTAAATTGTCCGATCTTTCTGGTTTACCATCTGCAAACATATTTGAACATAGAAGCTATTCGTCGATAACCTCAATTTTCTCTGCATGTGTGTATACGTTCGTGTGTACTGATGAATTATTTTCTTCATCTTGTTTTTCTGTCTGTGTAAAAATATCAGGTTGCACTTTGCCAAACTGTGTTAATACGTTTGTCGTCTATGATCAGCTTCTTTTCCTTTACTGTCTGTTTAAGTTAACGAATGTGTGGGACACCTTTTTCGCAATTCTTTTCTCTTTTTCGACTCATATTATTTTGTTATTTTCTAATGCGAACTAAGCTAATAAATGTAAACAACAGCAGGTGGAATATATATTTTGTTAACGTCATCATTCTACCATAATGGGGTCAGACTTTGGGTGTATGAACGTTCTGACGTAGTAGTTTATTTCTCTTACAGATATGTTTAGTTTCATTTTATGGCAAATTAAGTGATGAGGCCAGAACCATGGTTTGTGAGCTCTAATAAAAGTCTTCATTCAATAAAGACCTCCTAATTCACTATAATGGACGCTTTATATGTTGTCTCAATGTGGATGTTTTTCCATAGTCAGTTTCTCGTTAGAGAGATATTAGTTGAAACGACACCTTGAAAGGAAATCGTCACATCGATCGCATACATCGCTTATTCTCCCCGAACCACTAGAATTTATTTTGGCCAAAAGTTGCTCCAAAATGTCTAATTGTTGGAAAACTCAGTAGTCTTATGTCATCTTCAAACCTATCTAATATATGATCATGCTATTTTTATGCTAATCTTTTGGAGTGCCGTATGTTCTTTTGGTAAGTTAGTCGGGTACCCACTCATACCACATTGTGAAGTATAAGGTCATTGATTCAGTTGACGTTTTGAATAATACTTTAGATATTGTTTCAGAGTCGTGATAACACGCTACATACATATGTATATATGCACCAATTTTTCACTTTGTAGTAAACGATACTTTGTTAACTGTAGTTACCTGAATAGACTATTTATGATTGCAAAGTGAATTTATTTTGTACACTCATATTGGTATTTGTTAAGTGATTTCACCAGAGCGTTGAACATTTCTTTATTTATGCATGTGTATGAATACGTCTTTATCTATAATCTAAATGTTTGTCTATCTACTCGTCAATATTTTATACACGATATACAATTATGTGCAAAATGAATTAATCATAACTAGAATGAGTTGGCTATGGACCGACATCATGTTGTATCTATATATCTTCACTGAGATGACTGTATGCTCATAAGCGAATCCCAGAAGTAAACATATCTACACTAAATTTCATATTTCGGATTTTTGATTATTTCATATAACGTGATTAGAAGATCCACGACGTTAAGTTAGTCCTACAATGTATTAATATTAGTACCGTTCGATCATAATGAAGTCAACAATATATACTACAATTCAGTCCTTAGTAGAAATATATATCTCGAAAAAGTCTCAATAAGACCACTACATGAAAATTATTTGACATTATGGCATACATCATTTGATGTTAGTTAATTGATCTAAATCAACAGAAAGCCTTGTCTCATCTTGATTCCCTTCTTGTTCACTGTCATCATCAAGCTGAATATGAAAACTCAATAAATCTAATGTTTCTTATTGGGTTTGAATCTGTTTAATTCATTGATATAATTTAAGGCATTACCATATTATAGCCATTAGTACATTTATCTCATTCTTCAAGAGTAGTCTTCATAAACCTTCATGAAATACGTAAACATGTTCTTTGAATAAGTTGAAAAAGAAATAAGAGTAATTTAAAGCATTTATACACAAGTATGATATATGTAAATACATATTTATAGATATATATATATATATACATTTTTGTCATATTCATTCATATATATATATATATATATTTATAGGCATGTTAGTTTGTCAATAAATGAATAAATAAGTAGAATTATGTATAAGTAAATGGAAAGAAATGTACAAATCACAAAGTTTGATGAATATGTTCTCTTTTTTTTGATAAAGAATTTTTGAATCTTTCCATGTAGAGATTCTCCTTTCAAAAGTAAATCAAAATGAGAAAGAAACAAAAAATTGTTAAATATTTAAAATAAGTTAGGAGAAAAGGATACTACTATCAATCATAATAAGTATTAGTATTTGTATTTATTATTATTATTATTATTATTATAGAATAGAAAATAAATCTATTATTATTCATCTGAGATAAATGTTGTTGTTGTTGTTTTTTAAAATAAATAAAGAGGGATTTTATTCAAAAAGTTAAAGAGATTTCATAATTTTATATTATTCACAATAGTTTTGTTTATTCTTTTAATATTCTATTCATTTATTAGCTAATGAAATCTATTCATTGCCATGAAGATAATTGAATAAGTTCAATTCAAGTAGGATAAAATAGAAAATAAATAAGTCAGGGATAAAAAAAAACAAACAAATCAAGTTCACTATAATACATAATATTACAATGGTTTAATAAACCCAATTAAGAAATATACATTCATAATGCCAATAATAATAAGAAGAATAGTGATAATAATGATCATTGTACTCTATAATAAACAATTAATTATAATAATATGAAATTTTGCTAATAATTATAATCTTGTATAAGAAGTTGAATCAGGTCTAGAATAAAATATGTCTAAATAATCAGGTAAAGTTGGATTCTCTTGTCCAACAGGATAAAGTAATAATTGTTGATTATTATTTCGTCCTAAACTATGCACCTAATATTAGTTAAAAAAAAAACAAAAAAACAAAACAAAAATGAAATCAATACAAATAAGTGTTTATCACATTGTTCAGCACGAAATGGTATTCATTATTAAACCATTTTAATCTAAGAAGTATTGTCCCTAACATGGAACATCTTAGGAGTAGTCATCAATAATCCTTAGTCAGTCAGTCAGTCAGCTACAACGTAGGACCAATCACATATGTGCATCAGTCCAAGTTACCACACATCATCAGTACAACAAGATGAACACCGCATTCATAAATGTAGTTAATTCAATGGTAGTAATATAAAAAAGAAAGATTGCATATAAGGATATAGTAAAGGAAGAAAGAATTAGTTTGTAGAAAGAAAAATATGAAGTCATTTTAATCTCTTGGTTTAAGGGAAGACAGACAGTGTATACACCGACTACACTGTGATCTATTCTGAGTCAAGACTACGGTGGCACAGTCTCCAACCATTGGTTACGATGGCCACACGGACCACAATCAAGTAGTCTGCATCTGTCAACATGGCTAAGACTAAAAATTAGTGACTTCAAAGACCGATGTCACGTTTCGGTTTGGCCAACCCTAACTTTCTTCCAACCATCATCAACACTACTCAGCATTGTGCGTCGTGGTAATCGGTGTTCAGGTATACACAACACGTGGCCCAACCATCACAGTCGATCAAGACTCACAATCTCATCAACTGACTTACCATCATTCCCTAATAGCTTGAGTCTAACCTCACCACTACTTACACGGTGATGCCAGGAAATGCGCGCAATATTTCTGAGGCATCTGTGATCAAATACTAGTAGCTTACGAGTATCTTCTACTCTTATTAACCACGTTTCGCAGTCATAAACTAGAACAGAACGGACTGCCGCCCAGTATTCTCGTTCTTTAATTGACAGAGTGATATCTCACCTTCGCCATAAGTGGGCCTCCTGGTGTGAGATCAAGGCCCCGAAATTCAGTGGACGAGAGCATTGTTTCCATCAGTAGGTTCATGATGAATTTAAAAAAATGGAGAAAGTGGGCATCATTGACGGACAGCAATTGGGGTTGCAAATCAGATGACAGTTCACCATAAGCTCTGACTCGACTAGTATCGTTCGAGTGAAGAGCCTTCACAAGGTTTATGTACTTCTGAGGTACGCCTTTCAATGACAGACACTACCACAGAACCTCTCCGTCTACAGTGTCAAATGCTGTTTTTAAGTCAAGAAAGATCACCATTGTCATACGCCGATAAGTATGCATGTGTTCTAGAACTTGATGAATGGTGAATATGTGGTCGATGCTGCCACATCCAGGTCTGAAGCCAGCCTGATTTCCTTGTGTTTGCAGTCGACGAGTCTTAGTTAGGCGTCTGATAATTATTGAGGCTAGTATTTTAGACGCTATGTTGGTCAAACCGATCCCTCTATGGTTGTCACAGGATTATTTTGACTCTTTCTTATATATTGGGACAACCAATGATTGTGACCAGTCATATGGGATTACGTGAGGATAAATCCAGGACGTTCAAATCTCATGAAGTCACTTGATGTGCCTCCTGATTTTGATTGGTTGTCCAATTAAGATCAGCCTTTAGAGTAAATAGTTGGATTTATTTAACTTCACAAACCCACTTTAATAATAAATTGATTCATTTTTTAAGCCAAAACAAAAAAATTGATACGGAAATTAATCATAAATAAGGGAGTGTTAAGGACTGGATTTTGATTTAGTGAGGGATTCACTGTCAAATGTTTATTAAGGGATCTAAAAAAATGATTTGAACATCTCTCCTTTTCTCATATTAATGAATAAACTATATTTAATTAGCTCGAAACAGATTATTATGTGGTGTATCCTACTTATGTTGACAGATATCAATAGTGTGTAACACCAATCAGAAATGGATTGCCAGTCAAATAAGAATTGAGAAGATTGAACTGAAAGGAACCGAAAGGAAAATAGAAAGAATTTGGGATAAAAACAAAACTGGAAGAGTCATAAAGAATGTAAAGGACAACTGATGGAAGATGTGCAAATAAAATATTTAATATATGTTTCGAATAAACTGAGCACCGATTGTAGATTGGTATAAATAAATAAATATGTTTGTAATATCCAAATGAGTAGAAAAATAGATTTTCTGACGTTTCATGACTTAGTGTAAGCTACTTCTTTAGAGAATTATATATATATATATATATATATATATATATATATATATATATATATACAAAGACGTTCTGTAATTCTGAACAGAATAATAAATTGGTTTCCCCGCCAATTCCTCGATCACTTCAACTAAACTGTTGATTGAAAATGATGTTATTACAATGTGATCTTTAATTCTCTTGATATGCAAACATTATGACTGGTTTTCAGTTAATTGCAATAATTCTCTTTCTCTTTTTAACTCTTGCATCTGTTCCAATTTTTCAAATGAATGTCTTGTGACCACACAAATTAAAACAAAAACTCTTTTACCATATTTGAGCATTTCAAATGATAATTGATTTTATATACGACTAGATAGATAGTCAGCATTTTAAAGTAGCAAATAATACATTTCAAATCCAACATATTCGTATTACTCAAGATAAAAGTTGTAATTTTACTTAAAAACAATGAAAATCAACTTACAGAATAAAATTTCACAAGATCTCTTAAATCGGTGAATTGTTCAGGATTTGCAACACCATACAATTGATAAGTACTCTTAGTTGTATTACGTGAACCAGAATTGGTTTGTTTCACTGCAATTACCGATACAAGGAAATGATTGCAATAGGATGATGTAAACAAACTGATAACATAACCTAAAAATGATTCATTTAAATGTAGAAGGAAACTGCCATTTTTATCAGTTTTAGTGAGCAGACGTTCAGCTTGTTCACGAGAGAGAAATCCTAATAAAGAGAATTGAAGATAAGTAATCTGTTTTATCAGGTAAAATAATCATTAGAAATAATAAATTAACTTTCAACAGTATACCAATCAAACTGTTAATAATTTGCTTTTAATTTTCTCAATAAATGTTCAATATTTTACAATTTTTGTCATTTCTATGTAAAATATAATCAACGAATTATTTTACATTAAACATACTTGGACAAAATATCAAGAGATCATGATTGAGTTTATCTTCAACGTTTCAATATTCACTGAGTATATCTTATAAGAGATTATGGTCATTTTCCGATTCATTTAGTGGATGAGCGACTTATTTCAGTGTAGTTTTCGTAACAAATTTTATTCTAACCTCTAAATTCTCTCATATTTTTTGTTTCGTCATCCGGGATTTCGAGATCTAAACAGTTGTGAATAACTTTGGCTGCTTAAACTAAAACGTCTAATTAAAACTACAATTCAGTGGGAAATTATACACGGTTCACTTAAATCCACTAGATCGAAACCACCACGACTCTATGGTTTAACTGAAGTTCACAAAGCAAACCTCCTCTACGTCCGGTTTTAGATATGTATAATTCACCTTACCATAAAACTGCAAAGCGGCTAGTTTGAATCCTAGATCCCGAACTCAAACTAGTCGTCAACAGAAGCGTTGCATTTCCAAGGTTGAACATATGAACTTAAACGGGAAACGAATGATGTTTCTAGATGTTGCTTCCTTGTTCACCAATGTGCCTTTAACTGAGACTATTGACTTTTTGTGCCAACAACTACTTGGTATTCCTGAGGTAATTCTCAAGAAATTACTTCTGGAATGTACAATCAATGTCCGTTTTGTCTTTAATAACACAAAATATATACAAATTGATGGTATAGCTATGGTTTCACCTCTAGATCCTGTCCTTGCTGATTTTTTTCTAGCGAAACTAGAAAACGGAACTCTCAAAGAGGTTATCAATAAGCTTGACTTCTATTATCGTTACGTTGATGATACTTTCATTATTGTCGGTCAGAACATCAGAAAAGAAGAACTCTTAGAACTATTTAACAATAAACATCCGGCAATTGAATTTACGTTTGAAGAAGAATTAGATAATAAACTAAATTTCCCCGACGTTTTGTTAAACAGAAAGGAAAACAGTTCTATCAGTAGAAGCGTGTATAGAAAAATTTCTTCATCAAGCCAGTACACATATTTCTTGAGCTTTGTACCCCTTCATTATAAGAGAAACCTAGTCTAATGTCCTACAAATTGAGCTAGGAAGATATGCTCAGTCAATACGATAAACAAGGAATTATATCTAATACATAATATGTTGATTGGAATGGGTTATCCACAAAGTTTCTTGAAGAAACAATTGCATGTAACAAACAAGAAAATAACGACATCAACGGCTAGTGAGAAAACTTTCTTCCTAAAGCTGCAATTCAATCGAGATGTAGCTGGTGGTGCTACGTAATAGGCTGACTAGAGCAGTTAAGAGAACGTTTAATGCAGCCAATCTCTGTCTATTGTACTCCACCCGATCTATGGTGATTCCTCAACTGAAGGATGAGTTACCTGATCATGCCACTTCTATATGCATCTACGACTTCAGCTGTTCCTGTGTAGAAAGCTCTATTGGGCGCACTACCAGACAAATGAGTCAAAGAGTTAGTAAACACCCCCTTCTTGGTTAGGTAAAGGTGCGTCAAGACAATACGCAGGTCGGTTCTATCACAATTGATCGAAAACGGTCATGTAGTAGAGAGAAGTAGGTCATTTAAAGTTATTTATCGTATTCCTACGCGTTTACCTTATGGGGTTCGATCTCGCCTCTTACACACAGCAGAAGCTATAGGAATTCGAAAAAACAATCCAAGCGTTTGTGTTCATAAACTGTTAACACCTTTATCTCTACCTTGGCCCTATTAAATAATTTTATTTATTATTATTTTCCATACTCTTTATTTTTCTCACCCCCTCCCACCGTTTTCTTTTTTCTCAAATATACGTTTCCCGGTCCAATCATCTGAGCACTTTTTATTACGCAATCTAATAATTCTGATGAATGTTATTTCAGTGTCTATATTTCTGTAATCATTGTCCTATTTCGTATTATGTAACATTGATTCAAGCCTTTATTATCCTTATCACAACTAGTACACCTGTCATCACACTACCAATTTGTACTTTTCAATTATTTGTGTAATCTATTCCACTGTTTATTATTATTATTATTATTATTATTATTATTATTATTATTATTATTAGCTTTATTCAATATTATATTATTGGTACAATATAGAATTCTCAGCACAAACTGCATTGATTGGTTTAATAGTTTTAAATATTACTGTATATTAGAGTAAAGCCTGATGAGGATCTAATGGAAAACAATATTATTCGCACATATATGTTGTTCTAAATTCAATAAGCACCACTAATCCACTAAATCAATACAAAAATGACTGAATACCCCAAGTACGACACAACTAATGGATAAGGAAAACATTTCAAAAAATCTCAGCATGATAATGTCAGTAAACACCGAAATATTTGGTAAAATTTCATTTTTGTCTTTGTTTTGTAAAAATAATAAGTGGTTGTGATGATTCTCACAAAGAAAATATTTTAAAATGTCTGAGAATGATGATGAATATCAACTGATTATTTCTGAAATACTTTTTGATACAGATTTTTTTCTACCATTCACAAGTTAACTGGATATACGATGGAAAATTGTTGTAATATTGCATATATAGTGCTACAAATCCCTTACTGTAAACAAGTTACATAATACTGAATAAAAACATCAATATTACTCTTATTACTATTGCTACTTTATTTAATTTCATGACTTTTAATTTGTGGGACAAACAAAAGCGAAGGATCAATGTACATTTAACTTAATTATTATTCACGAAACGAGAATATACCCAGTCTGCTTAAATAAATAAGTTTTACTGCGTTACTTTGTCAACTGTGATATAGCCGCATTATAGAAAACACGGGGCTAAGTATCTCTACTAGCATAAAAAATAATCTGAGCATAAAGTATTGACGGATATTACTTAGCCCAAATAATGTAGATGATAATAAGCCGAAATATTTAGCTTAACTAATAGAGGTTTATTAAAAATATATAATCTGTTGATACTAATACAAGGCCTACTTAGTAAAGGAGTTGAATATCGAATTACAGGAATAGGGAAACAGTTAGATATAGGTATGTATTCCTATGTTTTAGGGCCTAACGAAGCTGTATAGTTGATAGATACGTCTAAAAACACATTCGAAACCCTGTGTAATACTAAACTACAGTTAAGTATAGCATGATAATGAAACATAACCTCTAGGTAATAATATTAGTCAAACTGATTCGTAATTTTTTCTTATTTACGATCAGGTAATTCACTCAAGTTTCAAAGGACGACGTCAGGAAAGTACTTCATTTCAATAAAAATCTCATGTAATTGTAATCAGTAGTTGACATCGCAAAGTATTTAGTAAAATTTTTTCAAGCATTAAATCTTTTGACTAACCGTGGAACCATTCAGGTACACGTGAAAATGTCAACGACGATAAATTTGGACTAAAACCAGTAATTGGTAAACCGAAATCCACAAGTAAACGTGCAGCTTCACAGCTTTCAAACCATTTGTAAACTTTAGTTTTAGGATCCTCTTGAATTACATTGTTAACTTTACGTGATAACTTAACATCCGGTGTCCAAAACGCAGGTCGTGGAAATACTGATGGAGGTGAACTAATTCTACTAAATGTTGAATTTAAACTCTCTGTAAAATGAAAATAGTTTCGAAGTAAAACAGTAAAAACTTATAACTGTGCAAAGAAAAACTATGGTTTGTGAATTAAAAAATGATTTTTTTAAATAGAAGTTAGCTATAAGGTGGATTGATTTTAGATAGGCTATCAAAGAAAACCAGAAAGCATGTAAAATTATTTTATTCTGGTATGTGACTACTTAAAAGTGCGAAACTACTACTTTACAATCGAATTGACTTTATGTATCTTCTAAATATTTTGGTGCTTTATACATTCACGCAACATCAATAAAAATATTCAACTATACTTTTAACATGGTGTTTGTGTGTCTGAATTGTTTTATTCTCAATCACTGGTTGTGACAGTCTATAAGAAAGGACAAAAGTCCTCTTGTGGCAATCACAAAGGAATCAGTCTGACTAATATGGTCTTTAAAATATTAGTTTTAATAACACTTAGACGCGTAACGAAAGCTCGCGCAGAGCAGACTAGAGAAAACCAGGCTGGTTTTCGACCTGGACGTGGTTGTATAGACCACATATTCACACTACGTCAGATTCTAGAACATAAACACATATTCAGACGTCCCACAATAGTAGTATTTCTCTGCCTTAAGGAGGTATTTGACTTTGTCGATCGTGAGGTTCTATGGCAGTGTTTGTCACCGAAAAGAGTATCAAAACTTACATCAACCTTATAAAGGCTCTCTACTCGAACACAACTGGCTGAGTGAGAGCTTATGGCTACTTTTATCAGAATTGATTACCTCAAGTGGTGTTCGTCAGGGCTGTCCACTCTCTCCATTCTTGTTAAACTTTGTTGTTGAAGTAGTTTTAGAGATAATACTTTCATCATCTAAATTTCCAGTTTAACATTTACTAGGGGCGGCCGGACCAAAACATGGCACAAGTCCATGAAGTCACTGACAAGTAGACTGAGTCATATTGGTAGGTGTAGACTACCTGGTTGGGGACCGCGAGATGATAAAAACCGATGGTTAGAGACCCTGAATGACATGGCTCAAAATCGTTTGCAATGGCGCAGGTGCATACACTCTTTGTGTTCTCCCAAATTCTAATCTTCTGAATTCTTCATGTCCCTTTTCTTCGCTTTTCAAATTTATTTTACTGGTTTGTACTCCATTAATAACATCTTCAAACCCTAATGTTTCCGATTACTGCTTATAATTTTACTACCACTACGGGATTTGAATAGACAATTATATCTCTGTGGTAATGTGGTATGGCAACGTAAACTGATGTACGTACGTACGGAGTTCTGTGTTGTTGCTGACTGACTAGTTTGAATAATCTGTCCATCCGAAAACCATAGTGTACATATTTAACAACTTAATAATATTTTTGAAGAAACTAATAACTTACGAATATTATCAGTATGATTTGAAAACGGTTGTACTGATGGTAAATTATCATCATTATAGTTATTATTATTCAGTGTTATTCTTTGTTGTGGTTGTTGATGTTTTATCAATGATGATAGTTGTTTGTTCTCTTGTCTTAATTGTTGTGGTTCAGGTTGTTTTGTAAAACGTGTCATCATTGTATGATTAGATGGATTTGATGAAAATGTAATCGATGAAGATATTTTATCTAATTCCGATGTTGATGATGAAAATGATGGGTCGATCTGATCATAATTTTGATTATTTAATAAACTGATTCGATTAAAATGGCTTTTTGTTATGGATAAATTTGTATTTTCTATGGCAGAACTAGGTGGGGTTCTTTCATTTATATGATGATTTTGATGAATTGGTGCTGGTGATATACTGGTTGGTGTTGTTACTGAAGGACTACTTAATGGACTTCTGGTTAATACAAAACGTTTCAATGTTTTGTTTGTGGTTGCTGTTGTTCTTGGTGACAATGGCATTGCATCATCAATGGATACATCACTTCCTTGGTTCGTTGTATTAGAAGGGTCGTTGAGAATAGTAATGGAACTATTAATATTATTATTAGGACGATTATGCATTGTGAAATCAAATGCATTCTTGGTATCACAGGAATTCTTAAGATTCATACTACTGTTATTAATTTGTTTATTATTATTTAACTGTTTATCTAAATCTAAATAACAATTTCGATTATTACTAGTAATACTACTAGTACTACTGTTAATACTGCTACTAACATCGATACTGTTATAATCAGGATTAGTTGTTCTCATTATAATATTACTAGTATCGACATAGCTATTATTATTATTGTTGTTATCATTACTGTCATAAGGTGTGGTAGTTGTCATAACTACAGAAGTATTATTACGATTATTGTTGGATATACATATAATAAGAGTATCAGTGTTATCGGATTCTTGATGTTTGTAATTATTTCTATGGTTATTTGTATCAATATTATTATTCTTGAACTCCGTGATTTTCTCTTGACTATTCATTTGTACTCCTTTTCCTCCACCTTTTCTTTGTATATCAATTCTGGCATTATCATTATTATTATTGTAAAAATCGTTAGAATGAGAATATAAGTTAAGGGTAGTTTCAATTTCTGGTGAATAAAAATGATTTGATTGTGTAGCATTTTTTGTCATGGTTGCAACTGTTTCATTTGTTATTAATGGAGCGTTATTATTATTCATTCCTTTAAAAGAATTCTGATTATTTTCGTTATCTTGTATAAAAGGTTTGATAACAGAAATATATTGTCCATTTGCTTGACTTGGAATATTCTTATCGTTATGATCATTATTAATTTTATTACTATTAGTATTATTATTATTATTAATATTATTATTATTATTATTATTATTATATCAATGATATTGTGACAATTTTTACAATGTCCATTCATGGTAGGAACATTACAACTTGTAGTATTATCATTGTAGTTTGTAGTATTAGATAAGGATGGGACAAAATGATTATTCGTCTGTTGATTTAAGTTTAATTTTCGATTGAAAGGTGTTGGAGATAAAATAAAGACATGATCATTATTATTATTATTATTATTAATATTATTATTACTATTATTACTACTGTTTCGACAATTGTTATTTAATGAAGATTTAGAGTTATTATTAGCAACACTTAACACATCTGAAATACTAGAATCAATTGTTTTACTAGTTGTGTTTATAGATGAATTTGTTGGTGCCGTAGTTGAAGAAAAAGAATAAGATGATGAATCATAAGTGTATGATGTAGAATCATGTTCTGAAACGGATGAATCAAATGATCCTTGAATTAAATTTGGTTGAATTAGACGTACACTATTTTCATGACGCTGTTTATAGGAATAAGTAAAACAAGCGTACACGATTAAAATATGACACACTGAATGCTTTTTGCTGCCAACAAAGATAAAAATCTAGTAAGTCAATCCGATTTATACCATTATTAGTGAGAATTTGAGCTAGTCTGTGATTAATATTCAGGATTGAAATTCAATAAGTCATTGTTGGTGTGTGAATCCTGTTCTGATTGACCTGATGTTGTCATTTTGACATAATCTATGTAGAATACACAGATTATGCATAGCTGTGAAATGAAAGAAGAACGTTTTGTAATGTTTATAACACATCAGCTAGATTCATCTACTGCATCTGAGTGTAACTGTGAACACCAACATCATGGCTCAAGTATATCCAAGTGACAGTTTACAAATTAAATAAGACGTGCGACGTGAATTCCAGTGCAAGACACCATCCGTCCGTTTTTAATAAAATCGTTTAGTTTACTGTATTTATTGAAGATACCAAAAAGGAGCTTCAGTCACTATATATATTTAGGTGTTTCTTGTGTCTGTAATTATGAAGCTTATCGACCACCAGATACTTGAATTCACGTCGCTCAGACATATCTGCGAAATTCATTCAAAATTGGTCCTCGGATATTCTTCACTCCTTATTATCCAATAATTTAATAATTTAATTTCTGAAGATATATATATATATATATATATATATATATATATATATATATATATATATATAATAGTTAAGACTAAATATTTAGTCTACAAACTTCAAGAGTTCATTTTTAATGCCTTTTGTACAGGTCTACAAAATCAAGAACTGATTTATCGTATTTTCGGATTTTGCCAGCAGAGAAACTGAGGATGAGTATTTTACCCTATTTAAAACTACACAATCACAGTATTTAGTCTCAAAGTAAGACAAGAACACATTCAAAGTGATTTTGAGTACTGTTGGCGGTGTGAGTAGTGTTACTGATTTCCGGTTTCCCATATAATGAAATGATAGTTCTTTTTGAGAAACCTGAAAATAGAACATCGATATTGATAGATTTGGAGAGTTACTAAAGAGCTTAAAAGACAAATACTTGATATCAAAAAAGACATGGGCTTTTAACTAGTAGTTATAGATGTACTAGCTCCCTACTTTAAAAGCCTTAGCTAAAGATACCAAAATCAGCAGCCTTATCAAAACTATTTTTTGTTAGAAAATAAACATGAGCACAATAAAACAGGAGAAATTAAAATCATACTCACAAGGAAAAGTGTAAATATTTGTAGTGATATTGAATTTACTTATTTCAACTATATCAGCCATCCGTCCTCAATTATAATTTCGTTATTTATCTTTATGATGAATATTTAAGCGCTTAATGATAAGACTATAATTAGTTTCCCTAGTTAAAACACTAATATCTTTGTTTATTCTACCTCACTGTTACCGTGTTTAACAGAAGTTTATTATCACTGTTATTGTAATTAACATGATCCTCAAAAATAAGTATATATATTTGCGATGGTACAGCAATGAAAATGAATTCGCCGAAAACGGAACTCTTCTCTGAACTAATCTTTCTTATTCTATATTTCAATAGGTATATTCTGTTTACTTTTATCAGCTGTATCTGAATCAATAACGCTTATATTCAAACAAACGGATAATGGGAAACAAAACAATTGAACAAACAAGTCTAACATTTTTCATGACTAAACTATTACACTTTTGTACAAAATATTTAGCATAAAGTCTGTTTATAAACAATCAGGTTGCAAAGCTACTATAACCATTTATTCTGTAATATTTATTGTAATTCTTATATAACATTTGGTAAGTTACTAGTTAGAAGTTATCACGGTCCTGTACTCGTGGACTGATCTTAGTTAGACAGCTATTGAAAAAACAGAAAGCATTAGACAACCGTTTTATCATGGTATGAAACTCTTTGGCAGAGGGTATCCAGTACCCTACAGAGGATTGGACCTGACATCTTCAAGTACTATAGTGAGCCCATAACCTTTAGACCGCTTAGTCATCACTCAGTGGTTTATAGTGTTAACTCCAATCGTTTCTCAATGTCGTGCAACAATCTTTCTATTCGTCTGACATTTACCTATCTAAAACTCGACACTTTCGAACTCCACTAGTCACGTCATCTCACCAGAAATCCAGAAACACTCAATGAAGTAAGCTACTAGTGACCACAATATCGTGAAATAGTTGACAAGAGGTATGCACTCTGTTAGATGTTGTCTCAGTAATTTAAAGGCCAAGTGCTCACCATGGCACTTGAAGGTCCTGTGTTTTGCACTGACGGAATTGTGAATGCACACTGTCGAGGAATCTTTTACTAAGACAAAACAGCTACCCACTCTTCTCTATCTATCAGTACATGTCTAACTTAGGTTGGTTTGTGATATGAATAACATTTAGTAATCTTCACTATCATGTGTATTGATAAAAATAGTTATGTAAAATAAAATACCATAAATTTCTTTGCAACTGGACTTTCTGAAGAGTATCTCAAGTGTAATGAATATAAAACTTCATGAACCTATAGTTTATGAAATTGCAAACTAACTGAAAAACTGACCTACAATCTAATTGAGCTCTATTATAATCATGTTTCCAGTGATTAATTAACATCAGTGTAAAATTAAAGAAAACTTCACGTTAAAGTAACGAGTTGGTGTTTTGAATCATTTGGTAAGAAATGGCACTAAATATTGATTGCCATCTTGTATAAGAATTGTATTACTTTTTAAACAGACTAAAATATGAATCAAATATTTTTACACAGGTTGTTGAAATGAAACAATTTATGTTAGTCCTTCATGAACCGTGTAGAACCCGAAATATATATGCAACCATTAAAATTTCTACATAACACATATGCATAATGAAATGAAAACACCAAGAAAAATGTTAGAGTAGTTAAAGCGATGATAGTATGAAAGGAAATGGAAATCATTAGGCATGACTAATATAATCGAAGAGGAAAACATTAATTCAAGGAATACGAAGTATAATTGTGAAAATCAAGATCTCAGAGAATCTCAAAAGTGAATAAAACTGTTCTATTTTGACTGATGATGAATCATGTCATCCAATATCATCAACCATCTGTCATGATGATCAGATTAACACCAATTAGGTATTCAATACGTAATATTCGACTCAGTCCAACGGACTTAGTCATACTGATGCCATGTCCTGGTTTGGATACACCTAGTTTTGCAACGAAACTCAAGACGCTATATCACAATAACTTCAAAGTAAATATTCAGTGTTCCACTATTAGCAACTATGCAAAAATACGGTAGAACGATAACATTTAGAAATTAATTTAAACTTCTACGAAAAAGTTCATCACCTGTTTATCATTTCTATATGCCATACTTGCATTATCTGTTGAATATGATACATTAGTCGCACTATTTGCAACGGAACTGCTATTTAAAGTATCAGTCAATGTTGTAGTTGAAAATGTTACATTTGTTGTAAAAATTGACTTGATTGTTGTTGGCGTTGTTATCGCTATTGATGTTGTCGTTGTTAATGTCGTTCTCGTTGATGTTGTGCTATTGGTGGTCATCGTCGAATCCATATCATTCAGTTCTGAAGAGTTTGATGGTGATTCAAACTCTCTAATAAGAACAATTGATTTAAATGAATCATTTGATGTAGTCCCCGATGAACCGTAGCCATCGGAGCTAAATTTCAATAAAAACATAAAATGATATTAGAGGAGGTAAACAACAACTATTTATTGAATAAGTTCATAATTAATAATTCTTTCTTATGAATTCACTTTCAATACTGAACAATCATACTGATTTAATTATTCTTGAAAACGATCATTGATCATAGCTAATCAGTTAAACGTACACAAATCAGTACACCTGATCATATAGAACAAATAGTTAGGGTATTTTGTTAAAACCTTTTCTACTAATTGCTTAACTTTCGTAGAACGACTGGATGAAGGATATTTAGGTTAGACTCTTGGTATCGGACAAAATAAGAAATTACTTTACTAAAATGATTACTTATTTCATTTGTTAACTAGATCTCAAATAATACCCATATGCTTAATGTCAGTAATTTAAAGATTACCACTTATTATATCAATGGATGTTTATAAGCATATGAAAAAAAGTTTTAAAACTTGTAATTTAATATATTTATGAAACAAATTAACATAAATATTAAGAAATAAACATGTTGGAGAAAAAAATCCTCTTTTTTTCTTTCTTAATCTAAATATTCTATGACTTTACACAGATTTTGAAACAATATGCTAGTTTGATGTGAATATTATTAAGAGTATTAAATTTGATGTGAAATTCAGTGTTCATAGTAATTGGACAGTAAACATTTGTTCGATTACATTCAGATGTTAATTTTGTTTATAGTATATATATGATGGGATGCATTTCTTCCCATCTAAATTTAATTTGTTGCTTCAGGGCTGGCCTGCGTCAACACCTAAACTAAGGATAGGGAGTGAAGTAGTCGAAAGCGTTGATAACTTCACTTATCTTGGAAGTATGATTAGTTCTCATGGGTTGATACCTAATGAAATCTCTGCACGGATTCAGGTAGCTCATTTGGCTTTTACCAACGAACGTCACTTATGGCGAAGGTGAGATATCACTCTGCCAATTAAAGGACGAGAATACTGATCAGCAGTTCTTTCTGTTCTAGTTTATGACTGCGAAACGTGGTTAATAAGAGTAGAAGATACTCGTAAGCTACTAGTATTTGATCACAGATGCCTCAGAAATATTGCGCGCATTTCCTGGCATCACCGTGTAAGTAGTGGTGAGGTTAGACTCAAGCTATTAGGGAATGATGGTAAGTCAGTTGATGAGATTGTGAGTCTTGATCGACTGTGATGGTTGGGCCACGTGTTGTGTATACCTGAACACCGATTACCACGACGCACAATGCTGAGTAGTGTTGATGATGGTTGGAAGAAAGTTAGGGTTGACCAAACCGAAACGTGACATCGGTCTTTGAAGTCACTAATTTTTAGTTTTAGCCATGTTGACAGATGCAGACTACTTGATTGTGGTCCGTGTGGCCATCGTAACCAATGGTTGGAGACTGTGCCACCGTAGTCTTGACTCAGAATTGATCACAGTGTAGTAGGTGTATACACTGTCTGTCTTCCCTTAAACTAAGAGATTAAAATCACTTCATATTTTTCTTTCTACGAACTAATTTTTTCTTCCTTTACTATATCCTTATATGCAATCTTTCTTTTTTATATTACTACCATTGAATTAACTACATTTATGAATGCGGTGTTCATCTTGTTGTACTGATGATGTGTGGCAACTTGGACCGATGCACATATGTGCTTGGTCCCACATTGTAGCTGACGGACTGATGTATGTGATTAATTTAGTCTGCAAAAATTATTTACCATGTAGAGAAAGACTAAAATCCGAAATTATGTCCATCCTCGACAATTCAAATAATATAAATTAATAAGACGATGGAGTTTCATTATACCCCAGAAGTTATTGATTTATAAATGAGGAGACACATTGTCTGTAAATGTTATATTCATTTCTACCTAAGCCATTGTATTTACTAACAACAACATACACTTACTTGTCTAGTCATTTCTTATAATTGTATATAGTCCCAACTACTGTTGATTAATTTAGTAGTATATGAACCGATAACTACGTATTTTACAAAAATAACCTGTTCTCATAAAATTATTGTATTTAATTTTACACCTAATTTCAAGCATAATACGATCATGAACAGAGTAAAACTTGAAGCAAACTATCAGGTAAAATTTCAAAAGTGTTTTATTTAAGTAGTTAGGATTTCTGCGAACATAGTTTGATTCCAACAAAAAAGAATGTTTACTTAGTTTTAATGTTTGAATTCATCTTTAATTTGACATTACTGTTAACAATGTGATTGATCTGATTTTATACTTACTGCCACAAGATTATTTTATTTATATTTACTACTAGTTTTAAACAATGATCAATTTACACTTAACATTCTCTAACTGTTTTATTATCTCTAAAAGGTACCCACACATTCATGTCATTTTTACATGGTGAGCGACTTTCACAACATATATCTCATAAAATTGCTGTAAAGACAAATGAACACGGTTGGACGAATGTATAATATGGTTTTGTTAGTAAAATTTATATATTCTTTGATAATGCTGATTTTGATTATTTCCCTGTAGATGCTCATATCAGTTTACTGGGTGAAATTTCGGAAGTATTTAAATTTCAGTCACTGGGATTATTTCATATGTGATCTTTTATATAATAAGTGTAGAATTTCTGTCAAACTATTAGTTTATATTTCAGCGCATGTTTATGTAAATAGTTTGTTTAATATGATGTTTTTAACCGAATTTCAATCTTGATGAAAACGCATACACATTATTTGGAGTTGATTTCGTTATCTCTGTCATTCAGTAAATGAAATTTGTCACAACTGAATATTTGATGTAATTACTGCACTTGCGTTAATAAATAACTACACATTAAGAATGGTTAAAAGAGCACTTGAAGGATAAAAATGCTTAAAGATACATGGATAAATTGAAACTCAGTTATTTGACGGCAACACACCTAAAGGTGCTAGATTTAATTCTCGAGGAGGTCAAGGGTGCACACTGGTGATGAGTTTCATACTAGAATGAAGTAGCTGTTCAATCCTCCTTGACCTTTATTCGTTGTATTAGTAAAGTCTTAGTTCAGAGTGCAATTTTCACAAAGCATTTCATCTCAACTTCTATCTCTTATCATATTTGTACAGTTTATAATAAATATCTGGCCGCATCAAACACAACATATTCAAAACCAGCTTCAGTGAACGGTTTCACCGGGTTGGAATAAAATTCCTCACGGAAACTACATTCCAATGTTTAACACCGATACATCAAATGAAAAGGAAACCGACCAAAATTGATAGGTAAGACACACTTAGTAAAGACAAAAAATAACTGTTAACCTTGTTCTATCTATCTGTGTTTTGGGCATTCCTAACTAATTTTTAAAATACCTCATACTATATTAATGTTAATTTATTGATATCACAGTGTGATTGTTCGTCAACCTTAGACGTTTAATGTAGTCACATGTAAATCATGATTTTACAACAGAAAACACTTCCTATCACATTGAATCAATAGTATATTGCAACCTTTTTTGCATGTTCTTCAGTGATACTATCAATATAAAAGTAGTTCAAGAAAAGATGCTCAGATCTAGAGATACTTACATATTATCATACGATTAATAGTTCAAAAAGTCAACATTCTAAAATAAGTATGAATAATTAGTAACTTCTAAACTTTGAAAGGACAGTGTTTATTTAGATTAAAAAACTTCGTCAAAAAAAAACAAATGACAGACTGAATGGTTTATTTCATGGACTGATATTCAAAAATCATTTAAAATATGAAAGCCCTGTATAGATTTCAGTATGGATCTAAGGCAGTTACTGAACAATGGCATCGGAAGATAAACAAGAAATTTTTTATTATTTTTATAATGTAGTATAAGTCCGAGGAATTTCCCACAACTTTATTCCTATTATTTTCAACACAAACTATTATTAGTATTTTGTACGGTAGTAGCAGTCATTTATGTACTCAACTCAGGGTTTATATCGTCTTCTGCAGACCAGTATACCATACATATCACACTTACTGTATAAACTGAGTTAGCTTAATGAGACGATTCAAATTTGTATCTAATGGCTGTTATGTAGACAGTCTAGTCTGTGAGCTAACACCTTATCAAGACTAAATATAACCGACCAAAAATACACCTTATTTAGTGTACAATAATGAAACATTAGCTAATTAGTCAATCAATTGGCCTTAGTATAGTACGCCGGTACAGAAAAAAGCATAGAAATGTTAACGGATGTCGAATATTATGATTACATTATTTACCTAAGCTTATAGTATCATTTAATAAAAATCAAATGGAAACCTTTAAAAGCAATAGATTTTTGTAACTTAGATCAGTTCGCATTGGAAGTGACATCATCTGGACAGCTATTTGGAACTTTGAAACAAAGAATAGCAAATTCGTCCAACTGAAGAAATCTGTAATTCTTCAAAACCAAAAAGGAACAGAGCAAGACGTCTTCGTGTCTTCAAATCAGCACAACACTTTTAAACCATTGAGTTAGAAATCACTGGCTAATATTTACGACTTCAGTTAATTTTACGTATTTAAGGATACCATTAATCGAATTTATCGCCCATAGCTCGTCATTATAAGCTTAAGAATCTCCCTGCAATATATTTGCTGGTGAAAGTGTATATCTTCACAAATTTTCGAAAATAATTTTAACTGTATACGAAAATGTATTCGTGAATGTTTGTATCTTCCCGTTGTCGGTCCTAAGGACTAGGCCCAATCTTCTCTGAATGCATATAAACTAATAATAACTGATCTGTCGCAGACCTAAACAACAACAGCGGGAAGATATCAACATGTATAAATACTCGTTGAATAAGTTAAAAACTGAACACCTCATTTTTTCATGCCTAAATGTGTCTTGTATTTGATACATTCACAGTGATACCTTATTTTGACTAACCTGTATTTTATCTTTACAAATGAATCAATGTTTAACTGTGGCATATACAAATCTATTCACTATGATTTTTATAGACTTGATTAACTTTTATTTATATAAACAGAAC